AAACTATCATGATGAAAAAAAATTTTATGGGAGAATTAGCATTTTTTCCTTTCATTATTGATTAATTAAATTTATGCATAGAACATAGATATTGTAAGCTTTCTTTAATGATTCTATTCTAACCTTAACTTTTTTATAAAACTAAGGAATTCTTGTAGAATGAGGTTGAAATTTTGATGAAAAAAGGTTTGAGAATTTCCATTAATAAAATCTTTTCTGGAATTAATTTAAAAATATATTTCATTATTAATTACACTTAGTTTTTTGTTCTTGATTTAAAAAAAATTATTCTTGAATTTGTTACATTATTCTATTATCTACTTTTGCTCTTTATTAATTTTATATCCTTCATTATTTGATTTTGAATACATATTTTAGTTGCTTTAGATCATTCTTTTTAAAAAATTGTATAATTAATTTTCTCTGTTGTATAAGCATCATGTAATGTATTTTTCAATTCCTAAGTATCAACAAACTTCATTTAATCACTATTTTATATTATTGTAAGAATAAATTAACTAAATTTCTATTATCTCAAAAAAATATAATTTATGGAGCAATTAAATGATAATTACAGTTACTATTGTTCTTTGAGATTACTAGAAATTTTAGTGTTATTGTTTGGAAATAAATACGAATATTAATCATATGAATAGAATAAAATAAAATACTTCTAAGGGCTTCCAAAAAGCTATTTTTAATGCATTTTGCAATCATTATGTATTCTTAATATTTAAATAATTGTATTAATTTTAAATTTATCATTATAATTATTTAGAATGTAAATTATATTACAAAAAATTAAATGATTTTACATTTTTTAGAGTTCATTCTCTTACTATTCCATGCCATATGTTTTGTTGCCAACTGGAGACTGGTCGATTCTAGATTTACAGAGACATAAATATTGGAAGTTAACAGTTGGATATCAAAAGATTCTTGCACAACCTCAACGGTTTCAGACATGCTGAGCAATGGAAATTGTAAGACAAATCAATTATAGAAATATGTTATATATATATCAATACTTGCCATTAATTATGATGATGGAATTAATCTACCATGTCTACCAATTTGTGGAGATTAAATCATAGTTGATGAAGATGATTGTGATGATGGCAATAATGATCCATATGATGGATGTCATTAATGTTAATTTACATTTTAAGATGAATGTTAAATTTGTTTCAAAAATAAATGTTATCATTGCAAAGATAATTATTCATTAATTGAGGCTATTAATACTTTCATATCAATTTGTGGTGATTTAGTAATAATTAAAATGAATAATGCGATGATGGTAATAATATTAAATTTGATAGATGTCATTCTTGTTAATTCTAATGGTATAATCATTGTATCCATTGTAGTTAAAGAATTTGTTAGAAATGGGATGAAATAAATGGATGGTATTTAACAGGTGCGAAATGTGAATTTATATGTGGAGATGGAATAGTTGCTAAAGGATAAGCAATATTGTGAAGATTCAAATTTATATCCTTTCGATTTATGCAATTTTTGCGAATAAGAATGTTCAGAACATTGTTTGCTTTGCTCAAATGGAAAGTGTCTTAAATGTGGGAAAGGATTTAATATGATGAATAAAATAAATTATGTTTTCAAATTTGTAGTGACATTTAAATTGTAGGGAATGAATAATGTTTAGATTAAATAACATATTATTTATAAATTTGTGAGAATTGCTAGTTAAGTGTCATCATAATTTTTAACTATGTAATTATGGCTAATGTAATTAATGTTAATTTGGTTATAATTTAATTAATAATGGTTGTTAACAAGATTATGGAGATGGATAAATTGTAGGTACTGAAATTTTTGACTCATCAATTTAATATATCAATTCTAATTGATTTAACTGTAATTATAATTGTGGATATGGCTGTTTTATTTGCAATTAGGGAATCTGCGAAGATGGGATATTTATTAGATAATTATGCATGTTAACCAATTTATGGAGATTTAATAATAGTTGAACCTGAGTTATGTGATGATGGAAATTTAATACCTTTTAATGGATGCCATAATTACTATTCTTGTGATTTAGGCTGCATTATATGCTAAGCTGGATAATGTACAGAAATCAGTAAGCCAAATGAAGATAATAATAATGATTAGACTACTTCTGATTGTATTCCAGATTGTAATCCTTATAGTAATGAGAATTATT